AAGGATTGAACCCCTGGGGATCCCGGGATCCCTTCTGAGCATTCCCAGGGTGATGGGAAAGCTCCGGGGCTGCTGGGGATGAGCAGGGATTGATGGCAGGGAAGGGACAAAGCCAGACCCTGAGTGGCAGCCCTGAATTCACCCTGAGGTGACTGTGGGGGACAGAGGTGACCTCGCTGTGTCCCCTCCCCACTCAGCTCTCAGGGTGGGAAATTCCCCCTCCAGGAATTGTCCCTGCAGGTGCTCGCTGCAGGATTGATGCAGGGGGCTGTGCGTGCTCCTGGGGAGGGAGTTTGTCACCCCGGGGAGGATTTGTCCCCACAGGGAGATGTTCTTTGGTGGTCAGGGTTGGTCCCTGGGAGAATTCCCAGCTGCCACAGAAAATTCAGCCTCGCCCCCGCTGTGATTTTGAATAATTTCCCTCCCAGTCCCCGGAGCAGCTCGGAATTGTTCCCCATCCCCTTCCACACATTTCTGAGGATCTCGGTGAGGTCCTGCAATGGAAATCCGGAGCAGAGGAGGAACCTGGGGGATGCTGAGCTCCTGTTTGCCCAGGAATGTTGAGCGCTGGAATCTCTCCCATCTCGGGCAGCTTTTCCCTTCTCCTCCTCCGTGCTGGAGCTCGGGACAAACCTCGGAGGGAGCTGGGGCTGTGCTGGGGAATTTCTGCTGCCTGTGGCTCGGTGTCCAGGCCCGGCCATGTGAGCAGGGGCACGTATTCCATCCGTGCTGCTTCGGCCCTGCAGCCACACGCAGCGTTGCAGGATTGCCGTGTTTGCTGAGCAAATAAAAAGCTCCACGAGGAGCAGAATTGCCCATTTCTCCCGAGCCTTGCAGCAGCCAATCCGTGCCACCTCACAGCCAGGAGCACGAAGTGCTGAATAGGACTGTTCAGTTTGCCTTGTAAACACAACTGGTAATCTCTCCGGGGATTAAAAAACAACAAAAAAAAAAAAAAAACCCAAACTGTTTTAAAGAAACAAACTTTGCCCTCCGAGCTTTCCTCTCTTTGGGGAAATGGAGGCAAGGAGTGTGGTAAAATGGAAAGGAAAAAAAACAAACAGATTTTATCGTTTTTGAGAGGAAATAATCAGTGCTGGGAAGCTTTGCTGAAGGAAGGAGGGAGGGGACAGTTCCATAGGCCGGCGATGCCTAAAATACCTGGCTCAGGAATTCCAGAGCAGGGAAGCTGTAGAAACACAGGAGAGATGAATTCCCAGGCGGAATTCCTGCGGGAAGAGCTCACCGAGAGCGGTGATTTCCGGACACAGCGCTTAAAGCATCTTTAACTCCTTGTCCTCATCCCTCGAGGAGCTTTCCTGCTGGGATTCAGCTCCGGGGCTCTTTGAAGTGTTTTAGCCGCGTATTTACCCTCCACCTCTGTTCCCGTAAATGCAGATCACTCGCCCTGCTGCCTTTAATCTTGGGTTTTGGCCGGGTTCCAAGCTGGGTGATTTCATTTTCGCCCGTTGATGCCGAAATTCCTCATTGCCGTGTGAAACTGCTCCTTCCCTTCGTGTCCGGCCGTGCAGCGTCATGTTCCTGCCCGCTGGGAATGATCCAGCTCCTCCTTGTCCATGCCGGCAGCATCCAGGGATTGCTGCCATTCCTGCCAGGCTGTAAAACCAAAAGTGAAGTCATCGTTTTGCTTTGCAAGTGTCACTTTCTCTCGGAAAGTCAATAAATGCGGCCGCTTCCTCTGGGATACCAGGGGAAAAAAAAATAAAAATAAAAATAAAATAAAACAAGAGGCGGTCGCTAGGAATTCTTCCTTTGAAATCCGTGCCGGGGGAGAGCAGCTGTAAAAAGGGATTTCTTTCTCCCACCAGGAATGAGGCTGAGGGTGGGTGAAGCTCCTGGAAGCCCGGGGTGCTGTGGGGCACCCCACATTTCCTGACCCCATATTCCCCTTTTAACCCCACATTTCCTGACCCTATATTCCCCTTTTAACCCCACATTTCCTGACCCCATATTCCCCTTTTAACCCCACATTTCCTGACCCTACATTCCCCTTTTAACCCCACATTTCCTGACCCTATATTCCCCTTTTAACCCCACATTTCCTGACCCTATATTCCCCTTTTAACCCCACATTTCCTGACCCTATATTCCCCCTTTTTAACTCCACATTTCCTGACCCCACATCCCCCTTTAACCCCACATTTCCTGGCCCTACATTCCCTCTGGCACGAAGGTTGTGGGTGCTTTTCTTCCAGCAAATCCCAGCTTCGGGACACCCATATCCATGTGGGACAGGGAGAATTCCTGTCGGGGAAGGGGAATTCCTGTCGGGGAAGGAGAACTCCTGTCGGGGAAGGAGAATTCCTGTCGGGGAAGGGGAATTCCTGTCGGGGAAGGAGAACTCCTGTCGGGGAAGGAGAATTCCTCTCGGGGAGGAGCCGAGGGCTGAGGACAAGGACAAATCCCATAAATCCCATCTTTAATGTGAACTCCCACCGGCAGCTCCGGGTGTAGCTGGAAAAAGGAGCCCAGGGATGTGAGACATGATCAGGGAGCAGCTCGGGCGTGGCAGGAGAGGCTGCAGCGATCCCAGCGCTATTTTTACCCCAATCCCAGTTCCTCTCCTCTCCCTGGTTTATATTTAGCAGCCTGGAGCTGCTGGCATTCCTGGAGGAAGCAAAGGGAGGGAAGGATTTGGATTTGTGGAGCAGTTTTGTGTCAGGGAGAAGCTGATTCCCTGCAAATCATCCGCAGCTTTTTGGGGAGGGGAAGGGAGATGGAGACCCCACTTCTCGTTTTCCTCATTCCCCCGAGTGTCCTTCCTGTTCGCTGCATCTTTCCTGATCCGGATTTGATCCAGATCTGAGGGTCAGAGGAGGTTTTGGCTTGGTGGGGGATTGTCAAAGCAGGAATTGCTCAGCCCAGCACCTTCCCGTGATCCCAATGCGCCCCTTCCTGTCCTGATGATCCCATTCCAGGCTGGGACTTTGTCCCCAGTGCAGGACCAGGAGCTGGATTCACTTCTCTCATCCACCCAGCATCGCTAAATCTCCTTTGGAACCCAGAGCATCCCCGGTGCCGCCTCTTTCTTGTGTCCAAGCACGTTCCTGTAGTGCTGGGAAAACATTCCAATGTCTGAAGCTGGAGTGGAGGTGCCTAAAAACCCTCCCACCCCCCCAAACCCCCCCCAGGCAGGGCCGAGCCTTCAGCCTCAGGAATTGGCGGCGTTGAAGGTGGGAGCGGAGCGGGGGAGTTCCCGGGATTCGGGTGAATCCCGGGGATTTTCATGGGATTCACCCACTGCAGGGAGCCGCAGAGCCTGGCAGGGGCCCAGACCGAGTGTTTTTATTGCTGAGGGATAATCTTTGGAGCTTTGAGGTGCAGGCACGCCGGGCCGGGTGTTGTCGTTGTCTTGGAGACGGGGATGCTGCGCTGTGTGATCGCAGCGTCGGGAATGCTGCCAGCACCCCTGGGTGCTGCTGATAAACGTGGCAGGGGGCTGGGGGGGCTCTGGGGACAGCCAGGGGAGGAGCAGGAGCGGGGACAGCCAGGAGGAGGGGGCCGAGCTGCCCCAGGGGTCCTGGGGAAGGTGCGGGATGTGCCGGAAGGAGCCGCTCCCTGTGGGAAAAAACATCCCTGAGGAGTTTTGGGGCGTGTTTGGTATCGAGGGGTGGTTGAGATCTTCAGGTTGGATTTGGGGGTGAGAGCAGCGTTAAAGCCCAGGGCTGGTCATGGAAAACGCCCCGGTGGGGAGGTTGGAGTGTGCAGAGGATGAGGGGGATGCAGGAGGAGCATCCCCACACTGCTGGGATTGGGAAGAGGAGAGGGACAGACCCAAAACTCCTCGGGCCTGAGGCTGGAAGGGGCAGAGCTGTGACTGGCTGAGGGTGGGACGCTGATGGACACGCTTGGACACGGCCTGGAGCAACCTGGGACAGTGGAAGTTATCCCTGCCCGTGGCAGGGGTGGGATGAGATAATTCCCAAAGTCCCTCCAACCCAAACCGATCTGGGATTCTGGCATTTCGTGTCTGTAAACTCAAGGAGCGTTGGATCCGTGCTGGGCAGGAGGAATTGCAGCAGAGCTGGAGCCCAAACCCTGCACAGGCAGCGCTTCCAGCCTGATCCCATCCCCGCTGAGCCTGGCAAGAGCCAAAGCAGGAAAGGCAAAGCCACATCCAGGGCGAGCTCCCCGCCCGCTCCTGGGACTGCTCAGCCCCAGCCCCGCTCGCCCCGTGCCCCTGGAGCTCTCCCCGTGTCCCAGCCCCGCTCGCCCCCTGCCCCTGGAGCGTTTTCTCCCTTTAAGGGTTTGATTGCTTTAATCAGATCTGCGCTTAAGGCGATTCTGACGCCCAGCGGGAGGAGCCTGGGATCGAACTGGGAGCATCTCCCGGGGCTGGGACTCGGGGGGATCCCCCCTGCCCACTCTGACCCCGCTCAGAACTTTGCTGCTGCCTCGGGAGGTCTTTGTTGCAAGGGCAAAGCAGAAGCCAGGGGAGAGGAGTCTCCTTTCCCAATGGGAAATGTGGGATTGAGTCTTTTCCATCACTGTTTAGTCTTTGTCTTGATTTCCTTCTGTTTTTATCCTGCTTTCCCCCCTGTCCAGGCATTCCTGGAGTTTCCAACGATGCCACAAGGCACAGCCTGTGTGTGATCGTGTACAGCCCTGCCCTGGGCTCAAAAAGAAAAAAAAACCAAATCACCTTCCCTGCATCTCTTAACACAGAGCCAGCTCTTAAAAACACGAGGATCTCAATTTCCCTGGCAAAAACGTGGCTCCACTTCTGCTCTGACCCAGAGCAGGGATGTCCCCAGGGACCCCTGTGGGGTGGAAATTCGGGTCACAATGCTGCCAACCCTAAAGAGCAGCAGCTGTGGGGTGGAAATTCGGGTCAGGATTCTGCCAACCCCAAAAAGCAGCAGCTGTGGGGTGGAAATTTGTGTGTGGATGCTGCCAACCTCAAAAAGCAGCAGCTGTGGGGCTGGGGACCCATCGCAGTGTTGTCCATCCCTCTGAGCCTGCTGCCCCTTTCCCCGCAGGGCTCTGCCGTCCCTGGCAGCGCGAGGGAAGATGAACAAGATGAAAAACTTCAAGAGGAGGTTTTCACTCTCGGTGCCGCGCACGGAGACCATCGAGGAGTCGCTGACGGAGTTCACGGAGCAGTTCAACCAGCTCAACAACCAGAGGAACGAGGGTGAGGAGCCCCTGGGTGCCTGCGGGGGGCTGGGGGTGCTCAGGACAATCTGGGGTGGGTGAAAAACCTCTCCAGCCCCCCTACAGCCATTCTCGGGGTGTGTGGAAAGTGCCTGCCCTTGTTCTGTGTTGTGTTCCCCACTGTGTGCCCGTGGGGGTGATTAACACCTCGTCATTAAAGCTGAAGAGAGATTTATCCTTGCCCGAGGGAAGGCTGATGGGAGGGAAAGGAATTTGCACAGAATGGGGAGTTAATGTGGTTAAGGTGGAGAGGGGGAAAGTGTGGGGTCTCCTCCTGCCTCCCCAAAAGAGGGGTGTGACCCCTCTGGGGGCTCCAGGCTGGTGTTTCCCCCAAACCAAAGGGCTTCTCTGTGCTGGGCAGCACCCGGGGCTGGCTGGAGCAGCCTTTGCTCCTCCTTTCCAACAGCCCAGGGAGATTTAGGGTTAAAGCTCTGCCTGAGCCGGCACATCCCCTGTGCAAACAGCAGCCCCCGGAGCAGGCTGGGGCAGGCTCGGGGCAGGGCTGGGGATGCTGGAGGGGATGGGAGCAGCTCAGCCAGGACAGCCGTGCCGGGGGAGAGCCTGGGGGAGCCGGGCAGAGTTTGGGGAGTGCCAGGCAGAGCCAGGAAGAACTTGGGGAGAGCCGGGCACAGCTGGGCAGAGTTTGGGGAGAGCCGGGCACAGCTGGGCAGAGTCTGGGGAGTGTCAGGCAGAGCCTGGGCAGAGTTTGGGGAGCCGGGCACAGCTGGGCAGAGTTTGGGGAGAGCCTGGCAGAGCCGGGCTCGGTTCATCCTGGGGTAAATCCTCGGCTCAGCCCAGCCCCACCCCGTGCCCTGAGCTCTCATTTGAGCTCTCTTTGCTCTGGCCCTGCATCCCGAGCTCTGTTTCCCTGTTTTCCCTGGAAGCTCGGCTGTGAGCGGGGGCTGAGCTCTGATGTCACCCCCTGGCACCGGCGCTGCCCGGCCGTGCCAGCCAAGCTGCTCCGAGGATGCCGAGAGCTCATTTAGAGCCTCCCACAGCTCTCCAGGCTCTTCTTTATCTCTGCAGCATTCCCGGGGGCTCCTGCCCCGATCCCACAGCCCTCACTGAGGGCTCTAATTAGACCTGAGCCCTTAATTAGCCGTGCAGGAGCTGTGGGGATGAAATGGGGGCACGTTCTGGGTGCTGCCCCTGTTGTTGCCTTGCTCTGGGATCTGGGCTCCTCATCTCCTCCCTGCAAACCCCAGAGATGATTTCCCTCTTGTTCTGCTTTAATGAGACAAAACTCAACAAAGGTTTTCCTTTGCCCTTGGGGGGCAAAAAGGGCGAGCAGCATCTGCCAGGCCCCTCCCTGGGCTTTTGGGCTTGATCCTGAGGTAGCCAGGAGAGAACAGGAGCCAAGTCTGAGCCTGGAGCGAGGGTGGGTCCGTGACTGGAGGCCCAGCTGGCCTCTCACAGGGCTTGTGGTCGAGTTTGGAGCTGGGTTTGGACCTCTCCAAGGGGTTGGTCCCCGTTTTCCAGGTGGAGAACCAAAATGCAGGGAGGAAAAGTGACTTTGCTGCAGCCCTGGCAGCTGCTCCTGTGCCCCATCAAACATCTCTGCTGCAGGTTTGAGTTTCTGGTCAGGATCCCTGGGGCTGTGCTGGGCTCTCTGTGGCTCCAGAGCCCGTCCTGTGTCCCCTGGTGACAGCCAGTGGCAGCTCATGGATCACAGACACCTCGGCTCTGCTTCCCCCACCTCCTGTCACTCCTCAGGGAACTCCTGGGCTTTGTTTTCCCTCCACAAATCCCTGGTTCTCAGCATTCCCAGGCTGCAAATCTCACATTTTGGTGGCTGGGAGTGCCTGGGCCCATCCCTGGGGAGCAGAGCAGGTCAGGCTTCCTCAAGAATCACAAAATCAGGGAATGGTTTGGGTTGGAAGGGACCCCAAAGCTGCTCCCATCCCACCATGGCAGGGACACTTCCACTACCCCAGGCTGCTCCAGAGCTGCTCTGGCTCCTCTAAGGGGACAAGCAGGGGACAAACCTGCCCCACCTGTCCCCAGCTCTGTCCTCCCCACCCCGTCATCCTCATGACCTCACCCCCACAGATGCTGATAAAAGGAGGGAAAACAGAAAAAAAACCTTTTACTTTTTTTTTTTTTTTTTCCCAGACTGGAAAATCAAACAGTTTTCCAGCCTGGACACATCCTGTCACCAGCAATGTCACCTTGGTGGAGCTTGAGTCAGTTTTTTTTTTTTTTTTTTTTTGGAGGGATCAGGGCTTGGTGGCCCCAAACACCCACAGCCTGCTCTGCCCTCCCAGGCCAGACAAAATTACAAAATTCAGTGTCTGGGCTGGAAAGGGATAAAACAGAGCCAGCTCTGACCTTGGGAGCGCCAGGCCCTGAAGAAATGATGGTGAGGGGGAGGAAGGAGGATGAAAAACACGAGCTCTGAGCAGCGCAGAGCCTGCAGAGGAGACTTCACACTCAGCAAAGTAATTAAAAGTTCTAAGGCAGGCAGCGGGGAGTTCTGGCCTCTTTCCTTGGGAGATCAAAGCTTGTTTTGGCAGAGGCTGCGTTTAAATATATTTATTAAATATATTTATAAAAAGGCTGCCGGTGTCTGCGGCTTTGGTTCGCTGTGATATCGCAGCAGCCTCGTTCTTCCCGAGTGTCTGGGCTCCCGGAATTCCCATGGAATGAATTCCCTGGGGCTCTGCACGCCCACAGCGAGGTCCTGCGAGCCCCGAGGGCAGCTCCAGCCCTCTGGGATTGCCAATCTCCGGGTGGGCTGGGCTGGCACATCCCCACCCCAGGGCAGCCCAAACCCCTCTCCAGACCTTCTGTGAATTTTAACCTGCTTCTCCCTTCCTTTTTGGATCCACTGCAGTGTCCAGGTTGTCGATTTAGCTCTGATTTCACCTCTGATGTGACAAAGAGGTGACTCTGATGTGCTGCTGCAGAGTCAGAGCTGCTGCTTTGCAGCTCTCAGGACAGGCTGCACCTTTCACCCAGCTTCGGGTTTGTTTCACCTGTGGGAACCAGCACAAATTCACCCAAAATGTCATTTCCAGTGGCTTAGTCGGGCTCCATTGAGCCAGACCTTAAATGGCCTTTGGTTTCCTTGAGTATAATTTGCTTGGGAGACGAGGAAGTTAAAAAGATTTGGTCCGGTTGAATTAATCCACGTTGTTTTCATACCTGTGGTTAATTCAGGGCACATTTCCTGATGGTTGCTGTAAAAACAGATGGAGGGGAAGGGGCAGGGTTTTACCTGCGTGCCCAAAACCCCTGGCACCTTTCCAGCCCCTCTCAAGCCCCCCCCTGGCACGGGCTGAGCCCACCCCTGAGGTGCAGGCTGGGCACCCAGGAGCCCTGAGCTCGCCCCTCCCTGCTCGCCCAGTGCCCATGGCACAAACCCACAGCCTTTGCCAGGTCACTTGCCTGCCACCTCTCATCCGTCAGCCCAGCAAAACTGCAGCCAGGTCCCAGCCCTGCTCAGCACCCCGTGAAAATCCAGCCCTGCCTCCCTCCCTCCCTGCCCGCTCCTCAGCCATGAGATCATCCCCGGATCCGGGATTGTCGCTCTGAGCCCCGGGGACAGGGCAGGGACAGGGCAGGGCTCAGCCTGGGGCACTCCCTGGGGAGTTTCACTGCTCCCCATTGCTCTGCAGGGATTTGGGGGGATTTTGGGGGGATTTTGGAGCGTGGCTGCAAGGCTGGGAGAAGGGACGCTCACTGGGGCAGGGTCAGGCTTGAGCTTTTCCCCAGCACATCCAGTGCATCATCCTCGCTCCCAGTACGCCCAGTTTGGTGCTGCCTCCTTGTGAGCAGCCCCTGGAATCGGCAGCCCTGGATTTCCCGGGGGAATCCTCCTGGCTGAACTCTCGGTGACGGCCGTGGATGCCACAATGTCCCCGTGAATGCCACAATGTCCCCATGAGTGCCACAATGTCCCTGCTGCTAACCACAGAGTGAGGAGCTTTAAGGCCAAACCTCAAACCGGGGACCAGAAGGAGCTCAGTGGGTTTTTTTTTGTTGTTGTTGTTCTGATTTCGTGCTCCTTGCACGGATTTTTGAGCCTATCCAGGCTTCCCACCTGGGCTCCCAGGGGAGGAGTTGTTTTTCTGGGCTGCTTTGGTGCTCAAGGCAGCTCTTGAGCTTCTCCCTGTGCCTGGCTGAGGGCAGAGGTTGGGACAGGAAAGCCTGGAGGAGTTTGTTTTGCAACGAGTGACTTTAACCCCGAACTCCTTCCGAGAAATGGGCACATCCTGGCAGGAAAACACCCGGGTTTGGTGGTTGTGACGGTTCCCAGGGCAGGTGAGGTCCCTGTGTGTGTAAACTCCTCCAGGAAGGACTCTCTTTCTTTCTCTTTCTCTTTCTTTCTCTTTCTCTCTATTTTCCTCCCCCCTTTTTCTCTCCCTTTCTCTTCTTCTTTCCTGACCCAGCACGGAGGGATCCAGAGCCAGGGATGGGCACCTCTGTGTTCCCAAAGTGCTTTTTTGCTTAAAACATTTGGGAAGATAAAACTGCGAAGGCAAATCCTCCCCCCAGCGAAGCCCCGTGGTGCTGCTGCAGGGGGCAGAGCCCTGGGATTTGGGATTTGGGATTTCTGGGTGGGGGCAGCTCCCCTGTCAGAGACCCTCGTGGCAGGGAGTGCTTTGGGAATGCTGAGGGTGCTGATGCACCAGGAATCTGGAGCAGGAATTCCCTCTGGATACAGAGAAGGAAGAAGAGATTCCCAAGTCCCCAGAGCATCCCCTGCCCCTCCCTCACTCCTTGTCCCTTCTGCCACCACTCCAGCGGCTCACTGTGCTTTCCTTTTGTCCCCAGACCTGGCTCAGGGCCACCTGCAGCTGGCACAGCTGGGCAGGGACGTGCCAGGGGATGGCAGCCCCGTGTCCCCGCAGGAGGGACAGGGCCAGTCCCCGGTGGCCGCCGTGCGCTACCGCAACCACGGCCAGCGCCGCTTCTCCATGGAGGCAAGTGCTGGGGACGGGGTGGGGGGGACCTGGGGACCTCTGGGTGTCACCTCGGCGCTGGCTGGAAGGGCAGGGTGTGTCTTGGTTTGAAAAACAGGTGGGAGCTTCTTTTTAAAATGGAGAATGCAAACCCCCTCCCTCCAGATGATTGTAATTTTGAAATTAAGGGGCTCTCAGGCAAAGGTATGGGAATAACAGTTCTTTACTAGGAAAATTAAAATAGAAATGCGGTGATACAAAAAACAAGCCCAGAGCAGGGGCAGAGTGAGAATCCAACCTGCCCCCCCATCAGTCAGTCAGGGTTGGTGCAGTCCCATTCCATGGTGGCTGCAATCCTGCAGTGACAGATGTGGTTCTGCTGGAGCAGGGCTCCTGCACAAGGTGCAGTTTTCCTCCA